TTGTTGTTCTTGTTCTTCTTCTTGTTCTTGTTCTTCTTCTTCTTCTTCTTGTTCTTCTTCTTCTTCTTCTTCTTCTTCTTCTTCTTTGTACTGAAAATCACTGTGATTTAAGTTAAGATGGGAAACTAACAATCCCATTCTCTCTGTGATTTCTAGGCTAATATGAAAAACAAAAAGAAATTTTCTGAGTCAGAAAAGCCTGTTGATGCAGATTCAGTCACATACATTTACAATAGTGTACAAAGAATCCATGTTGTTTRTATTAAAGAGCAACTACAACAAATCAGATGTTGGACATGAGTATATTTTTATGCTGCTGGACACAGAATTGTTTTTACTTTTATTTCACAGAGCCTCCTAACTATTTGTAGCAGAGGCTGTAGTTATGCACCAAACGTGTGGTTTACAGTGTAACAGGAGCACTGTGTGAGATGTTTTTGTTTTTTTAGCATTCAAACAATACAGAGATGAGCAAACGTTTGCTCATCTCTGTATTGTTTGAARGCTAAAACCACTGATTAACCACTGATTCAATGGGTTCCTGTTTAAACTGGTTTGGGATTAAATTAATCAATACTTAGTTATTTTTGAAAAGTGTTTTTAAACTTTGCTCTTTGGTCAGATAGCTGTCAGTTATCATCTGGTAGGTGTTTGTTTATGTTCATGTGGACTTTTTGACCCATATTCACCACTAATTCAACAACAAAGCCCATTCAGACGTCTTTAAGCTCACAAAACTAACAACTTGTCCTGCTTTTATTAAAGGTTTCCCAATATAAAACAKTTTTCATGTGTTTCACGTGTTCTTATTTTTGTCCTTGGCTTTTGTTCTGAGTGTCACAACTTATTATCACCCTAAACCCAATTATACACTTAWGAGCTAACATGAAATTTAAGTTTTGACACTTTGGCTTGTTGTAGTTGCTTTTTATGGGGGGGATTACAATTCAGCAAGTATTTTTCATTTATATTACTATTTAACATCCTTAACTTGCCTTTTGTAGCCATTACTCCAGTTTTTTTTTTATTTCCCATAAAAATAGACTGCGGTGCCAGATATAACC